GTTACCAAGAACTTAGAAGCCTGTCCTGAATATCTCAAATATATTATCTAAAATGATATTCACAATAAATGACAAGGTGGGGATCATGTCCTCATTTCATAAATACAAAAACAAAATATAATATGGAGAGCTTAGGAAACTCAGGATGGACTGACAGTCCAAAGAAATGTATACTGCAAGTATATGTCTTGTGTCATTTATAATATATTATTGTGTTATGAAATATGTGTTATGAAATAGGCTTTTGTCAACATTTTTTAAATCATTTGGTATTTTAAAAATTCTTAGATAAAACATAGTTTTCCCACTACAACTTTCCTACTTTATAGTCAATATTGTGCTACTCTAACTTGAACACATACAATGGAGTAGAAGTTGTGAATTATTACTAAGTGATCAGTCTTTGTGAAAAGAAGGAAGATATTACCTTGAGCTACAAACACACTCTTAGGCTCTGGAAGTCATGTTTAACTCATGAAAGCCCTTAGAAAATACCAATCTTAGGAAGATAGAGGACACTCAGATACCATAGTATAATTTGATGTCAACGAGTTCTCCATACATTATTTACAGGGCTAATATGGTTATGTAAAACAATTTAAAAATCAATTTTTCAATTATTTTTGAAAATAATTGAAAGCAATTATTTTTAATTTATATACTCTCAAATGTAATTTTTTAAATTATTTCTTCTAATTACTTCTACATGATAGCAGAATGCATTTTGACTCATGGTACACACATGGAGCACAACTTTTCATTTCTCTAGTTGTACATGATGCAGAGCCATTCATGCAGTCGTACATGTACACAGGGTAATAATGTCCAACTCATTCCACCATCTTCCCTACCCCTATACTCCTTCCCCTCCCCTTACTGCCCGCCTCTGCCCAATCCAAAGTTCCTCCATTCTTCTCATGCCCTGACCCCCATAGTAGATCAGCATCCACATATCAAAGAAAACATCTGGCCTTTGGTCAAATACAATTTTTAGTGAAACATGGGTTCTTCACATATCTTCATATCTGTAGTTAGTAATAAATGATAAATAACTCAGTAAAAAAGTTTTCCATATCAAAATTATCTGACTTGCAAATTTTTATAGGAGATTACAAATTTATCACAAAATAACAATGGAATCAAGGATTCAACATTATATGCTATATTATTCTTTTTTAAATCCCCAAAAACGTTAACACCTTTTTAACACCAACAGGTTAACACTCCATTTAAAGGAAGATTGATTTTTCTACTTGATATAAAAGAGAAATACAAAGAAATATTAATAGCCCTCCTTCATAAAATTTTCCCTTTTTTTACTAATACACATACTAACTGAACCTCTATAAAAGTAAATATAGTTTTTATTTTCAGTGATTACAACATCTTCATAAGAATGCCCAAAATTCAAAAAAAGAAACAGCAAATGCAATCCATAAAAACACATAGGAGGCATTAAGAAACAAACAAACAAACAAAGGAATTAACAAATACTATGAGAATCTGGCATTAATTAGTTTACTTGAGTTGTGAGAGAAGACAGAACAAAGCTAAGTAAAATAAGCGAGTCCCCAAAAGTCAAAGGTTGAATTTTTTTTTTATATGCAAAAGGCAATCCAAAATGGTAGGAGGGGGTGCATAAAAAAACAGAAGATCAGTGAAGTAGATGAAGAGGATTGAACAGGAGGAAGGAGGGACAGGAGAAAGGAATAGTGAAATGAATCTGTCCTAACTTTCCTATGTACACATAAAAACATACCACAATCAATCTCACCATCATATACATCCACAAGAGGCTATTTAAAAAAACTATAAGTAAATAGCATAAAGATCAATAGAGTAGAGGGAGGGGAATAGAGGAGGGGGATGGGAGGGGAAAGGGGAAAGGGGAAATACTAGGGACTGAATTAGAACAAATTATATTCTATGCTTTTATAATTATGTCCAAATGAATCCTAATGTTATGATAAGTAAAAAGAACCCATAAAAAAGGGAAAAAATGAATAAATTTGAAAGGTATTTTTATACAAAATGAAGACATCATCAGGTATTCATAAAACTATTTATGCTGAATTATTTTAAGACTCGAAAATTATACTTAAGATACAAAAATCATTTTTAAAAATTCACCTGTAATCCAAAATCAGTCAAATATATAGAACATATATATTATATATTTATACATCATTAAAAATATATCTAAATTTACACCATTGTGTCTCATCTTCTATCCCAGCCAAGATACAAATATACACATATCTCTATCTCACAATTTTCACAAAACTAGGATAATTTTTATGCTATTATTTTTTAACATCTTCTTAAAGAAACTGACCATCTCATATTATGATGCTTTTTTTAGAATGAATTCACTCTTCAACAAATAGGAAGGTCATCTGTGAATAAGGCATTGTTCTTTGCTCAGCAGATACACCAAAGAGCAAAAACAATCATTTTGCTTATGGAGCAAATTTCATACCAGAGGGAATCAGCCAATAAAAAGGTGGAATATGTAATTCAGCATATGTTAGATGGTGGGCAATCAACACTACAAAAAAAAAAAAGAGAGAGAGAGAGAGACACAGACAGTCCTCTGGTGGGGAGAAGGTTGCAATTTTAAATAAAGTATGGTCAGGGAAGGCCTTGCTGAAGAGCAAAGAGGTGAAAGAGGTAAAAGAAAAGTCAGGTGACTATCTGGGAAAAGAAAGCCGTGGGCTAAATGGTTCAACAATGTGCAAAGGCCATGAGTCAGGTTGAGTCCTATCACCTCTCCAATGTCACCTCCTACTATTCTGCCTCTTCTTCCCCTTATTCCCACCAGATATTGGCCTCTGCTTGACTCAGTATTACACTGAGGAGGGGGGAAGTGGGGAACCAAGGAGGCAGTGCAGAACAACAGAAGCACTTCATAAGAGGCCTTCTCAAACCTAAAGGCAGGCCATCGTCATAAGAATAAAAGGGACCTTGGGAGAACAACCATTCCTCTCGAGCAGCAATATCCAACAGAACTATGACAGGAATGTTTTATACCTGTGTTAATAAGCAGTCATAAATCTCCCAAGGCTCTAAGGCCCTTAAAAAGTGGTCATTGTGAAGGAGAAACTGATGTTTTAATTGTACTTTAACTAATGAAAAATTAAATAGTCAAATGTGGCTAGCTAGATATCATTAATATATAGTTCACTTCTAAAGGAATACATTTCATTTACTGTGTTAAAATTCAAGTTGATCAAATGAGAATTCTATGATTAAATGTGTCAACTACAACAGTTTTACTTAATCAACACAAAATGTGTATTAACCATTATCTACCATGCTGCCCTTTGGCTCCTGTGTGGAAAAGCTGCTGCTATTGTGCTATCTTTCTTCAGCTTCAGTGTTTACACTTAGATTTTTTTTTTAATTGCTAAAATAACAATTCAGAACAAATCTGTTTTTAAATCAAGTCAGATGTCCTGCTGGCAAGATTTTACTTCTCAGTTTGATTTCTTTACAATTGATACACATTAAAATGCAAATGTAAAATACAAATAAAATACAACAAATGGGGTATGGTATAATAACCTATACATTCATGTATTACTGAATTCTAACAGAAAAGAAGATTGTGATTAGTAGAATGACTTAGGATATACTTTTTTGGAAACTGGCATTTGTATTGCTTTGTCTTACACAAAACTGGAAATAGGAGATACTAATTATACAAGGCCAATCAATTTCTAAAACCTGTGCTCAACATTATCAAAATATAAGGGTTCTAAGAGAAGACACACATATATGCACTATGTCAAACATACTACTACTAAAGCTAAATGGAGAAAACTGTATGTTTTAGAATTTCTATGTTTAAATCAACTGCTCCCAGAGACGATGAAAGCCAGTAACTATAAATTTACTGCCTGGTTAGAACTCAGTTTACAATTCAAAGGACTTTTAAAATCTCTGTGCTGTTATGAAGCTTTATGGGGTTTACAGTGGGGATGAAAACAGAAATAAAAGATCTGACACAGAAAATGCCACAGATATTTCCAGCATTATCAGCATGAATTTTTCCCTCTATCATTACTTTTTACCTTATTCCAACACAAATTACTTTAACTGCATAAAAAGACAACTTTGTTTCCTGAAGTCCCATTCAAAATGCAAGTGTTCGAAGGATAAAACTGAACAGAATAAAATTTTTATTTTTTTTTTTAATTGGAATGTAAACTCCACAAGGGCAGAAATTTTTGATAAGACTCTCAGTATAAAGGACAGTGACTGGCATATAGTACTACCCAGTCAATAAATATTTATTGAACTAATAATTGACCAGATCTTTCTATTGAATCAAAGAATCTAAACTGTGTTGTAAAATTTATGTAGAATTTTATATTAATATTTGTAATCTAGACTCAATTTACTTTTCAAATATTTTCATTTTTTCATCTATACATACCACAAAGCCCTTTATACAGGTTATTGGCTATCAAAGGATCTACGGATCTTAAAATTCCTTTGAATTCCAAAATATTCTAGCAAGGACCTAAAACCCAAAACCTGCTAAAATGGAATGATACGGAAATTTAAAACAAAATATTATTTAAATTTCTACTGAAATAACTGTAAAAATGATGGATGATGTAGGACTTTTTAGTGGTATTTGAAAGGGTATTTTCTACTTAAGACTTGTTTTATATTACTGTAAAACTGTTCATTGACTTTCAAAATCAAATACATTGAGATGTTATATAATGAACTGCACTGTTGTTGTTTTTTTTTCAAATTTTATACCAAAAGAGTATGATTTTAAAATTGGAATCTAATACACACTGGAAAATACTGAACTGGAACATTTGCTGAAATGCTGTTTACTGCAGAAGTCCCAATGTTTGATCAACACTGAAGTTTAAATTAGGTCTAAAATCAGGAAATTGACCTTCATAATATATTAACATGATGTTTGTCTTTCTAAGATAGTTTTCATCTACAGAAAGAAGGTTTAAATGTCCTTGACTTACAGTTAAATTGCGATCCCAGATCTGTATGCTTCCATTCTGGCAGGCAGCTGCTATGAGGTTTCCATCTCTACTATATGTGCACGTAGTAGGAATAACTTTTTTACCCTGCATTGTCCGTGGTTTAAACACACTTTTTTGCTTCCTTGGATTCTCAACTTCCCATATCCTGACAGTCCTAAAAAAAAAAAAAAAAGGATTTTTCATTTTTAATTTTAAAAGGGAGTTTAAAATAAAAAAGGGTATATAAAGACTGCCTCACTTTTTAAGTGCACATGTGCTTAAAATATCAGTTATTAATATCTCATTAATATGAAATTAGATGTTGACATTATCTAATTAATAATTATTGTTAATATATAACAATTATTTGAAAATAATAGTGGAATGGGGACTGTGGCTCAGCGGTAGAGTGCTTGCCTAGCATGTGTGGGGCCCTGGGTTTGACCCTCAGCACCACATAAAAATAAATAAATAAATAAAGGTATTGTGTCCAACTACAACTAAAAAATAAATTTAAAAAAGAAAAGAATGGTACCCCACTAATATGTGCAATTCTTATGTTTCTATGTATTAGCCCAAAATAAAAATTTTTTAAAATGTTCAGAAACAATTGTAAGAGATAAAATTTATCTGTAAACCAAAACTACACTGAGATTCCATCTCACTCTAGTCAGAATGGCAATTATCAACAATACAAGTAACAATAAATGTTGGCGAGGATGTAAGGGAAAAGGTACACTCGTACCTTTTGCTGATGGGACTGCATATTGGTGCATCCACTCTAGAAAGCAGTATGGAGAGTCCTCAGAAAACTTGGAAAGGAACCACCATTTGACCCAGCTATCCCCCTCCTTGGTTTACAACCCAAAGGACTTAAAATCAGCATACTACAGTGATGCAGCCACATCCATGTTCATAGAAGTTCAATTCACAATGGCTAAACAATGGAACCAAACTAGGTGCCCTTCAACAGATGAATGGATAAAGAAATTGTGTATATATACACAATGGAATATTACTCAGCAATAAAAGAAAATAAAATTATGGCATTTGCAGGTAAATGGATGGAGTTAGAGAATATCCTGTTAAGCAAAATAAGCCAATCCCAAAGTATCAAAGGCCGAATGTTTTCTCTGATATATAGATGATAATTCACAAAGAGGAAGTGGAGGCACGAGGGAAGAATAGATGTATTTTGGATTAGAAAGAGGGGAGTGAAAGGAATGGAGTGGGTATAGGGGTTTGAGTTGTAGTAGAATGAATCAGACACTATCACCCTATGTGCATATATGATGACATGGCCAGCATAACTCTATATCATGCACAACTAGAAGAATGAGAAATTATACTCCAATAATATATGATGTGTCAAAACACATTATACTGTCATGAAGAACTAATTAGAACAAATTAAAAAAATTTTAAAAAGATAAAATTTCTCTTTCATTATTCCAATAAATACCTCTTTAAAAATTAAAAAAAAAAAAGCTGGGTACGGTGGCACACAACTATAATCCCAGGGACTCAGGAGACTGAGGCAGGAGGGTGGTGAGTTCAAGATCAGCTTCAGCAACTTACAGGGGCCCTAACCAACTCCATGAGTCCCTAACCAACTTATTGAGACCCTGTCTCAAAATAAAAAATATAAAAGGCTGAAGATGTAGCTCAGTGGTATAGCACCTCTGAGTTCAATCCCCAGGACAAAAAAAAATAAAAATTAAAAATCAATAAAAAAAAATAAATTTATCTTAAAAACCCCAAATATATACTATAAAACATTCTCCATATATAAATTAAGTTACTCATGAACTATCTGAATGGTGTCTTCATCAAATCAAAAAACAAGTGACAACTTCTACTTTGAATCTAGAGTTTTTAGTTCATGCCCTCTAAAGCAGTGGCCTCCAAACTGTTCTAAGTATATACTCTGCCCAGTAAAACTGTTCAACATATGCCATATATATATATATATATATATTTGTAAGTTACTCATATGTGTTAAATGTACTGCCCTACAACAGATACCAGAACACACACTGATAATAAGTCACTAAAAAAGAATGGTATCCTATTCAAGAGAAAAAAAATCTCATGCCTCTGGGGGAGAAGCAGAAATACAGCTGTTTGTGCCTGAACTTCCACAAAGTAATGAGCCATAGCTGTTCAGGCCTGGGACAGAGGCAGCTCTTACTCATAGTTCCAGGAAAAGAAACACTGCCATTTAGGGCAGAGATAACAAAAGCCATATGACCCAGAGGGAGGAAAAAAAGAAAAGAAAATAATAAGAACAAAAATGACATCAGCAGCAGCATGGTAGAAAATATGCATGCCAAACCATTATGGGGGAGAAAAAGGAGTCAATCCAACATTCAATTGCCAGTCAAAATATATTTCAATAATAAGATGAAATCAATCCTCTTTTTAGATGGAAAAATGCCAAGACAATTCACTGCCATCCAATGTGTACAAGAAGTGATAGAGGATTGGGGCTGTAACTCAGGGGTCGAGCAGTTGCCTTGCATGTGTAAGGCACTGGGTTTGATCCTCAGTACCACATAAAAATAAAGAAAGAAAGATATTGTGTCTCTGTACAACTAAAAAATATTTTAAAAAAAGAAATGATAAAGGAAGTTCTTAAAAGTATAACAAATATGACACAAATGGAAATCTGAATCTATACAAGGAAATGAAGAATGCTACATATAATAAAGATGAAGGTAAATATAAAAGACACTTTTTAAAATGTTTAAATTTCTTTAAAAAACAAAAGGCTAGAAAGCAAAAATAATAACAATATATTATGAAATTTATAATAGGTCCAAATAAAACATACAACAATTACAGCAGAAAGGTTAGAAGGAAGAAATGTGTTAAAGATACACATTATAGGGGCTGGGGTCGTGGCTCAGAGGTAGGGCACTTGCCTAGCATGCATGAGGCACTGGGTTGAATCCATAGCACCACATAAAAATAAAATAAAGATATTGTGTCCACCTAAAATCAAAAAGTAAATATTTTTTTAAAAATATACACATTATAAATTCTAGAGCAATCACTAACATATTTTTATAATGAATATATACTAATGAAGATAAAATGTAACCAAAAATTTATTATTTTATAAACAGGAAAAAAATAAAAATAAAAGCAATGTGAAAAACATAACAGTAACATGACAGATGATAGATGTAAAGTCAACCTCATAAAAATGATCAAAACTTTGGCAAAGATTAGATAAAAGCAAGACCCAGGCAGATTCTATCATTGGTATAGATAGATGGATAGATAGATAAGTTAATAGAAAAAAGACAGAAAGAGAGTACATACAATTTTTAAAGAACTGGAAAGACCATACCAATGTCAGGCATGGCAGATTTTAAGACTAAGACAATAATCTGAGGCTAAGAGGAAATTTTCATAGTAATAGTCAATTGGCCAAAAGACATTAACAATCCTAAATGCACATGCCCCTAATACCAAGGTAAACTTAATATAAAGAAAAGGTGAAATAAGAAGTCTATAATAATAGATGCACACTTTAAGACTCCTCTTTCAGTAACTAATAGAAAAGTACTCCTTTGCATCCCCAAATCAGTAAGTATATAAAAGATCTGAAAAACACTATCAATCAATGTAAGCTAAATAACATCTTTAGAATGTTCACAAACGGATGAACATCCTTTTCAAATATATGCTGAACACTCATCAAGACAGGCCATATTCTGGGCCATAGAACAAATCTAAACAAATTGAAAATGACTGAAGTCACATGTGAAATCATATATCACTATAAAAAATAAAATTAATGAAGTAATCAATAACAAAAACATAAATGGAAATATATCTTTCCCAAATATTTAGAAATAAAGGCATATGCTTCTAAATTATCCATGAATAAAGGGTTAAAAAATAACAAGGGATATTAAAAAATACCTTAAATCTAACAGATATGAAAATACAATATATCAAAATTCTTGTTCAACTCAGGCAGAGCATAAAAGGAAAATGTAGAATTAACTGCATAGATTAGGGGGAAAAATCTCCAATTAATTACCCAAGGTTCAACCTTATGAAACTAAAGAGGGAAGAAGGGGGAGAAGGTGATAAAATATTAATTCCAAAGCAAGCAAAGGAAAGTAAAAGTACATGTGAATCAAATAGAAAACACACAAGAAATAATACAGAAATCAAAAGCTGTTTTTATGAGGTCAAGAGAATTAACTGAGTTAACAGGTGGACTAATGATTTACAAAAGAAAATTAGAGACAATATCAAACAGAATACTTTAATGAAAGAAGAGACATCACTAAAGAGCTTAATAATATTAAAAGGATAATAGGAAATTTTGTGAATGACTTTATGCCAAAAATTTGATAATTTAGATAAAATGGACATATTTCCTTGTAACACACAAGCTACCAAAGCCCACTCAATAAGAAATAACTAGAGGGCTGGGAATATAATTCAGTTGGTAGAGTGCTTGCCTCGTATGCAAAAGGCCATGAGTTCAATCCCCAGGACCAAAAAAAAAAAAAAAAACTAGAATATTCCTTTACCTATGTAAAAAGCTGAATACATTTTTTAAAATTTTCCACTAATAAAAGTGTAGAGGCTTCACTGTTGAATTCTATGAAATATCTAAGAAAGAAATATGAGTTGGAATCTCTAATCCAAAATACTCCAAATTTAAACCTTTTTGATTACTGGAACAAGTAGAAAACTCCACATCTAACCTCGTGTGAAACTTTGTTTCATGTAAAAAAAAAATTATTTAAAATTTGTATACAATTACTTCAAGCTAAAAGTATATGGTATATATGAAGCAAATTAATTTCCAGTTTAGGCGTGGGTCCTATAGTAAAGATATGCACATATGCAAAAATTCTAAATTAAAAAAAATCCAAAATTTGAACACTGCTTGTCCCTCAATTTGGATAATGATTAGTCATCCTGTAGTAGCACCAATTCTATAAACTCCACTAGAAAAGGAAGAGGAAACTACACAGATAACTATACAAGGCCTCACCCTGATGCCAAAACCAAAATCACTACACAAAAACTACCGTCAGTGGGCTCGGGATGTGCCTCAAGTGGTAGCACACTCGCTTGGCATGCATGAGGCACTGGGTTGGATCCTCAGCACCACATAAAAATAAAATAAAGATATTGTGTCCA